AACCTCCCTGTTTGCTCTAAACCAAAATACAAATGTACGGCCAACCAAATGCTACTAAATGCAGGATGGTGCTCTTTTTTGAATTTCCCTCTAACTTCAATTTATCCTCTGTTGGTTATTTCTCTTTTTTCTGTTCTCTTGACGTTTTTAATTTCTCTTGTGTCTCAGGGGAGGCTTTGCTCTTGAGTAAGAACTGCATCCTAATACATGTATTTCTAAAGTGCATAGTTGGTCTTTTTAATACTTGAAGTATTACTGTGAAGTTTTTTCTGTGAAACTCATGTTGACTATTCACTCCAGGATAAAACTCTAGACCTTTGAAACAACAAATTCAGAGACAAAACTTCTAAGGGAAGAATGATGTCATCTTTCCTTTTCTCTTCTAGATAGCTTCTTTGGTTTAAACTGAGATTTATTACCCAATGTTGTTTTTGTTGTGCACCTGACTGAATGATAAGGAAGTTTATTTTAGCAGCTTTTCAAATGAATGCAGAGAAGAAGCTACATTTTTGTGGTGCATGTGTCTGAGTGAAGTGTTTATGCTTCTTCAGATCAATGAAGGAAAAATGAAATGCCCCTCCCTGCTGGTATGCTTTCTGGAGGGCTAATTAGGTAGAGGAGGATCTCTCAGATTTCTTGTAGAAACACGGTCTTCTACAAAAGCCCCGGATATCTTGCTTTTTATTTTTGATAATGGATAGTTTGAAGTGTGTGATTTTTTTTTTTATTTTTTCATTTTTAAAAAAAGGCATTTAAAACTTATATTGTAAGCAATGATGTGAAAAATACACTTTTGGATTAACCCGGTAAGAGCAATTTTATTATTCTCCCAAAATGTGAGCCAAATTCACCTACTTTTATTAAACCCTGTATAAACAGAAACTGTCAAGACCTCTTACACTACTTTGATGTTTGTTTTTTTTTTTTCTTCTGTGTAACACTGTATGAATGATGAGAAAAAGTTTAAATTAAAAAAACCCGAACAAACAGTGAGACCTCTTAGGTCATTTCTGTAGTCTTTCACCTAACCACAGCAAGAAACTGTCCATTTTACACAGGTGTTCTTTTGTTTCGCTTTTGGTTCTGTGAATTTGATTGCAAGTTTTTGGTACAACTGTAAGTAAAAAAAAAAAAAAAATCCAAATGAAGAGGTTTACATTATTACCTGAAAATCTGACCTACATTGTGAGGATGAATGGATAGTAACACAACAGACAAAATTTTAGTGTAATAAATTCTTAAACCAAGTCATATCCTTCACTTTACCTCTTTTTCATAGCTTTTGTTGGGAAATGCAGAATGAATAGGGATTTGTTGCATTCATTCGTGTCAAGTACAGTACATCCATGTTTCTCCTTATCACGTGAGGGCCCCAGCGTGATTGTACAACAGGAGCTGACTCCTGCCTGCAGTGTGCCAACCGGGTGGCTGTGCAGCACAGCTGTGCTACCAACCGTGTCACAAGAGCAGCGGAAGCGTGGGTGCAAGTTCTTTGGCTGTTACTTTCTCTGTTCTTCTTCCCTGACAAATTTGCAGTGTGAGTGAAGTTGGATTCTTTTGTGTTTTGCAGGAAGCCAGTGCAGATATGATTACAAAACTAATGTTAATTGGGGAACGGCTTAGATGCCTCAGAGCTTTTCTTCCCTCTCTTCTGTATTGTGAGCTAGTTTAACAGATAATATGCTTACATATGTGCCATTATTACCTGTGGCTTGGTTCTTTTTTTTTGGTGGTCTTGAGAATCCTTTCAGAGAACCTTTAAAGGTGATCCATGCTCCTGCCAGCGTATTGCTTTACATAATCTAACCTAATGGCAACCTAACAGAGTAGATCTTCCCTTTTTTCCCCTAGATGCTAGGCTCGAATGGATTTATTTAGTTAATTGTTTTTCACTGTGCCCAAAGAAAAATATTCCTTTAAATCTGTTTAAGTAATGGACTGTCATGCATAATGGTACTCATTGTTCAATGGCACACATTTCTTCTAGACCATAAGTTTGATGAATTCACAAGTTGCCTCCCACTTTCCTATCAGTATGTAAAAGTATTTTAGGCATTCGTTAGGTGAGTACAGCTAAGAAACTTCTTTGCTTTCTGACTTGATACATGCTTGGCGATACACCATTTTTTTCCTGTTCTGCAACTTTAGTAAATTAGAGTAAAATTAATATTGAAATGGAGTATAGTTTATTTTACTCTTACGCATAACACTTTGTTTCACTTTTTTCTTTTTAAAAATGGCAGCTTATATGGAGGGTTACGTGATTGAGAAGAGAGATCATTCCAGGAATATAACTTGACTTTTCACTGCTAAGTTCAGTTTCATACTCTTTAGTTCATTAAGCTCTTAAAATGCAGTACTCTATATTACTTTATAATCATAACCTTGGAAAAATGATAATGAAGGGAGTATAGGTTGACTAGGCATATAAAGTGATGATAAGATATCCCAAGCAGACCTGAAAGCCATGGGACTTTTGAGGAAAACGTACGTTCTGCAAACTGGAACAGATACTTTCTTTGCATTTCACGTTTGCCCATTCAAAATGATATATTGTAGATTTTAAGTAGCATATTTTACGAGAAATTCAGTGTGTTTTGGGGTGATAAGTGAATGTTTTTAGCTTGTTTACTTGTTTGTTTTAGGTTTAGCTGTATTAAGTTGTCTATGTGTGTTGGTTGTTCCCCCTCATACCCTTCTTTTTTAGCACATGTGAGCAGGATAATTTTGTGATGTGTAAGAAGTTCCACAACAGAGAATAACATCTATTTACTCCCAAGAATCTGTTAATCAAGCTTACCAGTTGTCACCCGACACTAGGGACAGGCAGGTTCTTTTAGGGATCCTTGGCAGAATGATGATGGCACTAAAATGTAGTTACAATTAAAACCTTATGTTCTTAACAAGTTATTATGATTAGTATAGCACAGAATTTATGATCAGAATGGCACAGGATTTCTACAAGCAGAATCAGTATAGTACAATTTATAAGTAGTGTAATATGGAATTTATAATATGACTTAACTTATGATTTCTAATAATCTAGATCCTAACTTAACTTACGCTTTCTAAACACCTAAGTAATACAGAATTTATAATACAACTTAACTTATTATTTCTAATCACCTGGACTCTCTGCAGATCCGGTCAAATCTTAGTACATGATTTGCCATATCAATATAACAATAATAATCTAGACTCAAATAATTTAAAAGCATATGAGTCAGTCCTCAGAGGAAGCAGATGATGGTGGAGGCATCCCTGACCACCAGGTGAGATGAGTCTCACTGTCCAGCAGTAGTTCCGGACCAAGTTCCTCACTTAAAACTTGTAACTGCTTGATTTTATGGAAATAAAGTGCTCTGTGTGCTGGGATGGGATCACCACCACTGAGTTGGCTGGGTGCCTGGGACCTTCAAGGCCGGTAAAACAGGGAGTAATTGGCCTGGCTCCCAGGAATCTTGAGGCAGTAGGGAGGGGAAGGAGAAATCTGTTTGGTTTGTTTAATTGTTTCATAGGACCTTCAGGGCCTGATAATGAGGGGAAAGGGAATGAATATGCGACCTGCTCAGTCTCAGAGAGTGGCCGCTTGCCTTATAAAATGGTGTTAGTTATGCTAACCACATTACCAGGGGTCAGGCGAAGGGGGTATCGGTCACACCAGTTTTATCCTGACACCTCCACAAGGCAGATTCCAATTCTGATGGCTGCAAATTCTGAAATAGTGGTGATTGTGGATTTTTTTTTTATATACACTTTTTTCACTTAAAAATAACACTTCTTATGAAGGTACTTGATATGTGGAGCAGAGCAAAAAGAATTTAATCTTGGGTAGTGTTTATAATACGGGCTTTGCCTAGACAATCTAATTTGGGTTGCTATAGTTCCCTTTCAACTTCTCTATTTAGACAACTCATCCATTTTAAATGACAAGTCAGGGAGAAGATGACACCTGCTGAAAGTGGACTGCTTTTGTTTAGGTTTTCCTTACCTGCTGTGCTGCTGAAATTTCCTTGGTGTGGATTGGTAACGAATGGGAAGATGCTTTTATACCAGATCCGGAAATATACCAGGCTCCCTGTGAGCTCCACCACTAGCATGTAAGAGGACTCAAGGCCATCGAGTACTTAGTTAAAAGATAATTTTGATGATGACACACATAGATGGGCATTAAACTGCCTGGATGTTTGGCATCACTCCATTTTGCTTTTCAACACATCTGTGCCTTTCTTTCATTGTCAAGTGCCGTAGTATGTTTGAAGTATGTGCAGCTTCCTATTCAAAGGCAATAGGAGAAGCATTGTGGTTACTGTCTGTTTCTGATGCACTTCTAAATTTGATCCTTAGCTTCGTTAGCACCTTATCTTACCCAAAAGACTTGAATTCCTTTGTAGGTACCTTCTTAAAAAAAGTGCAGGAACGTGTGGGTTTGTTGTTTGTTGGTGGTTTTGGTTTTTTTTTTTTTGGTCATGTGCCTTATTTTATTTTTGTGATTGATAAGGCTAAAAGTTTTCCAGTGGTGAAATGGCAGGGCTGTCAGGTAAGTTGCTAACCATGTGTTCTGCTGTTTTGTTGTCACTTTGTACACTAATCATGATAGCACAGGGGGATAAAACCATGTTCTGCATTAAATATAATATATTGGGTTAGAAAACTGGTAAGGGAGCTGGGATACTGACTGTCTTACTACTGTAGCTTCAAACACAAGACTGTGTGCAATATGTGCAATATGGTATGGGGTAACAGGATCTATTTCTGTAGTAGCAAGGCACGGCTTTATTTCTTTTGAGCTTCAACAGAACGTGTGATCTTGGTCCACCAAAAAGTTATTGTTTCTCCCATGTGCTTAATAAACACAGTGGCTATATTTTTGTGGTTCATTTATTTCACTTGTTTCAACAGAGTTGCACTAAATAAAGCATATCTGACAAAGAAAAAAAGAAATCTCGCAGGCTGGTGTTTCATATCAGTACTTGTCGGTCTCTGTTGAGAGAGCCAGGATGGGAACAGAGGAAGAGGGCCAGTTTGAGGTGGAAGGAGGTAGTGGGCATAGTCTCTGTTTTTTCTTTCCTCCCTTTCCAAACTGTGTGCTTATTGCCAGGTTTACATGAATGCACCAAACGCAGTTAATGGTCATCCTTGGACTTTCCAATCTGATCTTGGTGTCTTGATGGCATTGTACCAAGCTGACACGTGCTGAGCTCTGTGTGGCCTTAGGCAGAAGTCTCCTTACCAAGAAAATGTTTGAAAGCAAAATGCCGTCACTTAGGCTGATACTTTATTTCAAAGCTGAACAGTCATTACTAAATAAACCTATGTGTAATCTAAATATATCTGGTTTCACTTTCTAGCCACAGATTTTTTTTTCCATGCCTTTGTCAGTCAGAGTAGAGCTCTCTTAAAATTCTTTTAACCATGACTGGTGGTGATCCGTGATTATTCTTCAGACAAGACAGACATTTTAGAAGAGTTCCTGCAACATAGTGTGTCTGGGCTGATTGGTGAAGGAAAGGATGACTTTTACATTTTCCAGATCATTGGTATAGGTTCTGTACTTTCTTGTACAGTATTGATTTGTCTTATTTCCTGAATAATTAGTTTGTGATTCGTAGTTACTTGCTGTACTCTCGTGCTAGGAACTTCTGTGTTCAGGAAGGTAGATTCCTGTTCTCATGTCCTTTTGGCAGAAGAATTTCTTTATTCTGTTCTGCAGATTTGACAGGGAAGGAGTTGTAACATAGTACTGCATAGCAAACCTCAAAATATTTCCTATAATTTATCTAGCCAAAATAACTGATATAACCAGTCCTTTTACTATTTTAGTGAAAGTAGGGGAAAATAAGATTGTTCAAAAAGCCTAGTCATTCCCTCCTGCCCCTGTTTTTCTTGTATGTGGGATTTTATTGCTGATTATGAATTCACCTACCTTTTTTTTTTTTTCTGCATGGAGAATATGATGTCTCGTTAATGCTGAATTTTGCTGTATCTTACCCTTAGTACAGGGTGGCTCAACGCTTGCATAGAAAATCTCTTGTAGATTTTCTATAATGCATAATAATTTTGATGTGGACATTTAGGCTACTTCTCTAAGACTTTAGTGGGGTCACAGAAGTATTTGTAGACCTTTATCATCTTAGGAGAGTTTTTTCTGGATTATTTATGCAACGTGCTTTTGAAAAGTAGTATGGGATAAGCTAGACCTCAGAGACTGTGTAAGCTACTCTCCCATAAAAAGGTAAATACAACAACTGAATAACCCAGGGATTCTATAGCCATAATGGTGGTGGTTTTAAATGTCCAAATGCAGAACAAATTAATTTTGTATAGCTCCATGAAGATTTAATGAGATTAATTGTTGAATGATGAAAATGCAGAAGTAGCAGTTCTATGTAAAAGGGCGTAGATTTCATAGAACACTAGTGTATTTTAAGTGAACTATGTCATAATCCTAATGGTTAGGATAAACAAACAAGTATCCAAGTGAGTTATAAGGGGAGAGATTTGATCCCAGCATGAATTAAGAACACAAAGTGGGCAGGAATTGTTAGTAAATTGTATTTATGTGGTTATCCTAAAGTTCCTAAGAACACAGGTGTTTATGTTGAGTGAAGATGGAGAGAGAAATTGTAAGTTCATTTTCTGTGAAGAAATTAAGTTTCAGAAAGTTTTTTAGATTTTAGTATGATGATCTAAAATGAGCTTTAATCAACTGATTTATAACTTATTTTTAATCAATGGAAGAAATATGAAAGAAAATTAGTAATAATGAGAGATCTGTAGAGTATTGTGGGGTAAAAGCTAGAAACTGAAAGAAATTAAGGGTTCTTTCTTCTCTGTTTCTTAACTGAAAGTGACTTTGCCACCAACAGGATTGATTCTTTTGAGACTGAAGAGACTAGTTCTGCGCAATGCTGCCATGGAATATGTTGAGATACTCATCAGTTCATAGCACATATGTAGTAATGCTGGAAATATGCTGCACAATATTGTATGCAATACACAACATAGCTGTCAAAGCTTGTATATAAGCACAGATGCTTTGTATGTTACATAAAAAAACCCCACGTGTTTTTATGAGTGGAAACCTGAGCTAGATTGCATTTGTGCAGGCACAGTTTGCGTGCACAAGTGCATCCTGCACTATGCAAAAGGAATCCTGCAGTTACTTTGTGTATGAGCTGCATGAAAGAATTACCTGGGGGACTCTCTTCTTCAGAACTGGACTGTCTGAAAGATTAAATAAATATACTTTCATAGCTGCTTCATCCATTTTCATAGATTTTGTTCTATTTAGTACTGACTTCTTTTACAGACAGTTACAATTTAGTTGTGGATTTCAGGCTGACTTAAAATTTGTGTGCACTAATCAGCTACCTGTAATAGGATGTTTCTGTATGTTGGGGGGACCAGAAGAGGTGTGTAAAAATACAGACGGTATAGATCGGTATGTAAGAGTTTGTATAGATTCTGAGATAAGTATTTAGTGTTCTCTGATTACAACTGCTGTCTAACCCTTCAGATACTTAGTTAACAAAAAGCTTACCATTACCAACAAACTACATCCTCTTCAGAGATTAGGTAGAAGAACTATGAGGTTGAAGAAAGTGTCTTTGAGTAGAGTGCCTGAAGGGACCTAATGAATGCAGAAATCTTTAAGAGAGATTTGTGTTGGAATACTGTAGAGTAACACTGAGCTATAAAAAAAAGACTTGGTAAATCATTATGGGGTAATGAGGTTACTGACTTTTGTTGTTGTTGAGAAGAAGAAGATTGAAAGGAATAGTTCTAGATCTATTTTGAATGGAGTTACTGCTCCGTGATGAATGAGTGGAAAGTGTCAGGCCTTTATATGTAACAGGGAATAAATGAAGTGTCACATGCTTGTATGAAGAAGGATGTGTGGATGTGCGATGTGTGAGTGATACGGTCCAGCCATCTCACCTCGCTGTCTGCCTTTTTGAGACTTAAATAGTGGAGGGTAGATAAAACTAAAATGTTAGTGTCAGTTGTTGATCACACTTGTTCAAAGATCCTTCTTCTCTTTACCTGGACGAGTATTTGTGTTTGTGGGGTTTTCATGCACTTTCTATGAAGAATCTGCAAAGTGGAAAGCAGAAAACTGCTGATAGGTTATATTCTTTCAGAAGTGAAGTGTAATAGCTGTTGAGAAGGTTTCTGTTGCATGAGCCCAAATAGTTAAAAGCAATTCTAATGGCTCTGCTGCACTGAGGGCAGGATGGTAGGCAGTGCATGATTCATAGCATGAAGGAACAGGTTGGCTGCAAGGGCATGCTTACACTAGAGAAAAGAATGGCAGCAAAAAACATGAGGACAAGATGAAACTCTATGACTTAATGCCTACTACTCCCATTTCACAACAGGCAACTTGATGTGGACTGAAATTGTGTTATTTCACTGCTAACTTTTGAAATTGTCAAAGAGAACTTGTCTGCAGCAGGAGAACAACCTTTCCAGTAGTGGAAACCCCCCGATCTTTCTCACAAAGTGGGTTTTTTGAGTCTGACCACTGGTAATCCTTTGTTTTGTTTTCCTGCAGGAGACAGCTGGATGTAAAGGCTTCATAGTTTATCCAGCCTGAGCTTTCATTATATTAGATCAGTTTTCTAAATAGAGACTGGATGCTAAAACCACTCTGTGCTTTAGTTGTGGTGTAGTTAGTATATTCTCCACTGTGAGGGTTAAGTTTTGAAAGACTTGTAAGGTTCAGCATACCTGAAGAAGTCATGCCTTCTGACGAGGAATTGCTAACTGTACTCTATTCTCTGCAATCATTTTCTGTGACCTTAATTTGTTATGCTAAATGGTTGTCTGTGGTGATTTTGTTTCACTGTATGATAGTGTATTACTTGTATAGTCTGTTGTCTCTCAACCGAAATGCTTATCTGAGTAGTCCTGTTTTATAACAGCTACTTCTCTGGAACAGTTCACATTTCTACATGTTTAGTAGACTAGAGAAGGGCATCTCTTTATTGACACAAAAGGAGTCTTCTGATGAGGTGAGAAAGCTGCAGATTTTCCTCATCTTTATCCTCAGTTGTTCACCTTGCAAGCCAGAGGAGGACAGGGGAATATCTTTTAAGAGGAAGGAGGTGTATAGCCATTAAGTGCCTGGCTCCTACTTCAGTACTTGAAACTACTTTTTCAAATGGATTTTATATGTAGGTCCCACTGAGAATGCATGCTGCACAGATGGCCTTTATTATCAAAATGCTCCATTGCGTAGAGTATTCAAAAGGCAGGAGAAAGAAGAAACCAAGGTGGATTTGCTTTATTCTAAACATAGCAAGCTTTTTGCATTGTCAGTGCATCATATTCTTATGGTGAAGAATATCCCAATGCAAGTCATCTCTGTGTGAGGAGAAAACACAGGGAAATGCACTGACAGGCTTTTCATATAAACAAACTTCAAGCTCTAGTTTATGTCCTAAAATCTCACATCTCATCCTTTTTTAGTATGCAAAAGAGGAAAAGATCTTCAACTTGTGCATAAGGATAGCTCAAGGTTAGTCTTACAATCAAGAGTTTTTAAATAGTAGTAAGCATATAGTCTTTGGTTTGGGGTCTCAGAGAACTTCAGCAAGTGATATAGTGGAGTAGGGTCAGGGATGTGATAGGCCTTTTTTTGTAATTTAATTTTTCCAAAATTTTTTTAAGTCTTATTTACTGTCATTTAACTTGAGGAAACAGTCAGTATTTCATCCTGACATTGGCCGAATAATTTTTCTGTGTGCTGCTTCTGTTTGTCCTTTACGTGGCCTTTGTATATGAATCTGTTTTGAAAGTGAAGATCTGGTTGTTTCCTACAAGTAGATAAAACTACTGGGCATAGATAAAGACACATCAAGGAAAATCTTCCTCTCTGTTCCTGTATCCTTAATAGCTAGAAATTTGGTTTCTTCCCCCACCGCAACCTAGAGTTGCGTATCCAAAGTAACGAGAGGATTCGTGTCTTGATGTCTGCGGAATGAGAACTTCATTAAAGTGATGTAGATGAATCTTAATTGAGCTGAATTGTGCTGACTTGGTGGTTCCTTCCTTGGGATGTCTTATTTAATTTTTAAAATCTCTCTTAATTCTTTTATTACTTACATTATTGGAATTTTTAAAGGCTTTGTTCTGTAAGCAGACAGAACAGGACATGTCAATATTTGTCTGTGACCGCATCCTGCAAAAACATGACTAGTTAGTCCTGTTGAGATTTTTTTTTTTTTTTAAGATGAGCTCAGAATTTTGTAATTAAATTCATACACTGAGTTAAAAATCTTTGTGATTTGAGTGAAAATGTCATGTGAACAAACAATATATGAAAATAGCTAAGCAAATAGCAATTAAAACACTGACAGTAACTTTCAGTCATGAGGTATTGTTGGTGCTGTTTTCAGATGTGCAGAGGGAAAGGCTCTCAATTGTTCTTAAGTCTGCTGGTAACTGAATCCACATTTGTAGAGCTTGACAACAACAGGCTTTTTGTTCACAATTTGTATTCATCTAGGACATGCCAATTACTGAGCATAAATAGAACATAGCGTATTAGCAGTCCGATATAAGATGTTGCTCAATTCATGACTTACCAGAAATCCATAATTTATATTAAAATAGTTAGAATTACAGGTAGAAACTACTTGTTGGGGGATTTTTGATTTCTGCATGAATGAGCACAATGTAATTACTTTGAGGAAGCATACACTGCTGTATTTGATGTGGCAGCAACATGTGCAACCTGGGCAAAACTCTTTCTGAATATTACTTGCAGTCATTTCATTAATTTAGTGAGGCAATACTGACTAGGGCAAAGCCAGTGGGTACTTGATAAAAGAAGCAACAAGACTTTTTACTCCTGTTGTTTGCAAATAAAGCATACTAAAGAAAATTATTCTAATGCTTTCCCCAAAATATGTCAAATTCCACCAGGCTATGTTATCAGTGTCGTTGTATCACCATATGTGATTTCCACATCAAGTAAGCATGACTGACTTTCTCTGCTGGGCCATTCAGCAATGTACATCATCTTCTTGTTGGTGTGATACTTGTGCCTCCCGCATTCTTTACAAGAATCAGCATGCTTTTTGTAGGATGTTACCCTAATCACGATGAATTAGCAGGAGCACAGGTGAATCTCTAGAAGATTTGGCATGTACAATTTTACTGATAACTTTTCTGTTCATTGCGTAGTGGGAACAAAACCCTGGTTAAACAGAGACTGATCTGAAAGAACAGAAAGAAATAACATTTGATAAAGCACACACTCCCAGCGTGCCCACCCCCCAATTTTTTTTATTGTGTAAACTGTGCAATGTTCCTGATTAAAACAGAAGTGTCCAAAGAAGAAAGTGTAATGGTTCCCAAACTATATGAAATGCATTGAGGTGGTGGATGTGACTTGATAAATGAGCGCATCATTTGAAGTTGTTGGCTTGGGAATTTTTTGTGGTGTATGGAACAGAAACTTTGAGGTTTTTCTTCTCCATTTGAGAAGTGTGCAAGCTATCTTGCTAGTGGAAAGGTATGCATGTGGGGAAAGCAGTGAAAAAAGATGAACAGCAGATTAAGTTCTTTGTCACTGTGGGGTTCTTATGTTGGTCACTGGTTTAAACTCCTGTTGTATTGATACTGTGTTCCTTTTCTGCCCTTTTTCAGGTAGCGGTGCTACAGCAGTTGTCCAAGCAGCGCTATGCAAACCCAGGCAAGAACGCGTAGCAATAAAGAGGATCAACTTAGAAAAATGCCAAACCAGTATGGATGAATTACTTGTAAGTAAATCAGAGGGGAACATATTGCATGGAAACTTATATTCTGTTTTGATTTTGGCTTTTGCTTGGTCCAAGAGTGAGGGTAGAATTTTTATGCACGATAATAGTGAGAAAAGGATTTGAAAATAATCTGAAAGAAGTATACCCTTCCCCTAAAAATATATTTTACTAATGTATATTTTCTAATGATACTTAAACAAGAAGTACAAATTTGAATCTTGGGGTAACCGAGTGTTGAGAACTGTGGGAAGACCCCTACCCCTTGCTTTCTGGAGATTTGATTTTCAAGAGATTCCTGTCCAATTGTCTGTCTTCTCTTAATACTGAGGAAAGATGTATTTTCCTTTGGTTAAGCACTGATTGAAAATGTAAAAGCAAAATTTAGTAGGTCTCCTTAAAATGTCTAAAGCACCAAAACATGGCAAAAACTAGTTGGATCATTTTGTAATGATAATTTTTGAGGGGAAAAATAGGAATAGCTACACTGCCACCTAAACAAGGAAACTCTTGTTAAAGCTAATAGCACACGTTTATTCGATAGGCCATAACAAGCCATTTGAGGAATGCTGTTTGTTTGGGTCACTTATCAGAGGAGGAAGGGACCTGTAAGAGGCCCTTTATAAAAGGCAAGAGCTTTTCCTTTGCATTGGTTATGGCAATCCAGACCAAGTTGCAAAGAACTGGTAAAAATCAAAACCTATTGCTTTCTAATGCTCCTGGTCAGGTGCTTATAATACTAATGTGTATTTATGTATAGGCAGCATAACAAGAGTTGAAGAACACGAAGCTATTCTAAAAGTGAGAACACTCTCTTCTGTTCCACAGGTTATACTACTGCCTAGAGACTGTGGGCTTTTTCTAATGCAGAAATTCCTGCCTCTGAAGGAAATGATCTCCTCAGCAGGGAATTGCCAGTACAAAAGATATCTTGAATTTGATACAGAGGGTATGGTCCATGCAGTTTCTTCAGACAAAATGGCTTATTTACAGTGGAGGACCCACAATGCTCTTCCCCTGGTGATTGATAGCATTCACCTTCAGTTTACATAACAGCTTGTATGGGACGTTGTTGTGTTTTTTAAAAGAGGGTTGTGGTAGTGGAAGCTACCTCTGAGGTAGTGAGACTTCTGTCGACTAAAAACTCAATAAATTCTGAACTGTGTTTAGAAAGAGAACAGCCCAAGGTGAGATGCTGTGCATGATGTATTAACATCTACAGCCCATAAAGAACACTTCTATAAAACCAGAAATACTAATCATTCTAATATATGGTCAAAATTTAATCTTTTTGATTAGAATTTTAACTAATAATGGGAATTAAGAATTAAAAAGTTATGACAAATAAAATCAGACAAAACTGCCAAAAAATCTGCAAGAGAGATCTAGGTGGTTTAGAGAAATGACTGCAGTTAGTTACCTGCTTGTACAAAGTTGCCTTACCAAGTGCTTGAGTATCTTTACTGCTGACATGCCTCCACTGTCTGCCAAATGAGGCAATAGGTCTTGAATTTTTGGTCCCATTTTGTGTTCTTCTGGTACGAAGACAACTGTCCATACCATCTTTTTTATTTTTTAACATAAGTCAATTTTTGTTTTTCTGTGTTCAGATTTTGTGTTTCTTTTATTTGTTGATCTGTTTTGATCTGAACATAAGTTCTGGCTTTCTGAGTTCTTGGTTAGGAGGATTAAAAAAAAAAAAGAAAGGCCATGTATGATTCCTTGTATTTTTATATGTGCATGCACACATGTGCATGCATACCCATACATAATTAATTCTTTTTTTTTCCTGTGAGGAAAAGTATACTTTCTCCGATTCGGTTCTAATAGATTTAAAAATTTTGTTTAAAAAATAGAGATGTTATTGTGGAAAAGGGCATCATTGACCTTCAAAACTCTTGTTAGAACTGTACTAGCATTTTTTATTTCAGTTGCTAATATTTAGAATGCTCTTGCGTTTTGGGTTTTTTAACACTGTTTTTGAGTCTGCTCAGTTTTCAATCACTTATTCTTCTGATCAAACAGTTTACAGTGACATAGGGATGTTCTAAAACTCTGTCTGCCCTCTGAACATGCTGTTTTGTAAAATCCTCTGCTGAGTGCTTATGGATGGTGTGCAAAGGCACCCTTGACAAATTCTCAGCTGTGTAGCCTTCAGAGAAGTGGAAAATGTAGCAAGCCTGGTGCCCACATAAGCAGACTTAGGATTTGGGCCAGTGTCAATTAAAATAGAAAGGCAGTGGGGGAGGGAGGTTAAGTAACGCTAAGGTTACACAAACTGCCAAACTCCTGAAATTCAATACTCCATTTCCTGCAATGTCCTGTGTTCTCACTATTGTAAGCTAAATGTAACTTAACCCCATGAGCCAAGGAAAAAGTTCCTGTCCTTAGTATTGTCCTGACTGGGTATCTTCCTCCATTCCCTTACCTCCATTTTTTAAAAACAAACAAAAAACTCAACACCACAAACCAAAGAATATTCTATAGAATGGCTTATTTGGTTGAATAGATTTTCTAAACTGTTTGCACTTCTGTTCTGGATAGCCCTTCGAGGCAGGCTGTCTGGAGGAGCCCCTCACGTGGTATGCCCAGCCCTTCAAACAGCCGTACCCCAGCTGTCCCTGGGGGAGGCCCCGGGAAGCACCCACAGAGCTGCGGCACCTGCCTGCTCACTGGAAGCTGGACCCGGCCCTGTAGGTGCTGCTGCTGACACTGAAAGGAGCCATCTCGCAGTTGCTTATTAACTGTCATCTACCTGCCCTTAGGCCGACACACATTTTTGTGCAGCTGCTCAGTGAAACTGAATCAGGAATAACCTGGCTGAAAAGAAGTTAGCTTTTAACCTGGACATACTTCCTGATACAGTGCACAAACACCTGTGCTAGTGCACAAGGGAAGGACAAGCAGAGGGATGAGGGAGAGACTTTAAATTTTAAATGCTGTTATGGCTTTGGTGCTGTCGAATGTCTGAAGCGATGTGAATGTGAAGAAGGCTCCGGGGCGTTCTCCTGGGCATCCTGCTGCAAGCTTTTCTTCTGACAGTGTATTTTAAGTGAACATTTTTCTCTCTCACCTGTGCATATCATGGGCCTCAGCCAAATAACTGAAGTTTGTCATGGCTTACCATTCTGTGTGTGATAGGGGCTTTCCAGAACTGCAAGTCTGATATTAATACTTTCCTGACTAAAATTTAATCCCTTATCTCTCATGGGGTGCTTCCTCTGTTTATTTTTGTTTTGCAAAGACTGTCTTTGGAAGAAGTAACCAAAGCTGAGACACAAGGTGCCTTTGGCCATGGTTAGAATGATAACTCTATTTTCGCCGACGAGTTGATGCAGGCAGACATAATATTCAAAGCACTTTTCAGTTAAAGATAGTGAAGCTTACCACAGTCAATTAGTTACATTTCTGCACTATTAATATGTGTGTAAAGTAGATGTGGTGTATTTTTGCCCAGTAGTGGCAGGTAGACTTCTTGATGCATCATTATATTACCAGCCTGGGAAACAATAAAACAACATAAGCAATGCAATAGTAATAAAGAGTGCAAGAGTTACAGTTAGGATTTGGTATGGCTAGCTGAATTAAGAACCTGAGGCAGTAATTTGACTTGTGTTTAAGCTGACATGTCTTCTGGGAAATGGAAATGTGTCCCATATAACTTTCTTCTGTTTTCCACATACTGTCTCCCAGGGAGAGGGGAAGCTATTTTACAAATTCTCAGTTATTCAGCCTCATTGCATGACTACTCAGGCATTCATCCTTCTATGGTTCAGGGCTTGGAAGTTGTCTAAGGAGGAGGACTTTTGACAACAGGACTTGCTGAAATGTGTGTCAAACCATGGCCTGACTTAATAGTCACCAACAGGCATCACGAGACTAATACATGCAGTTAACTTCTTATTAGAAAGTGGCTGTGATCTCGAGTGCATTGCAAATAACAACAACAAAACCCCTCTTTCAAACACTTGCTGAATTGAGGTTGAAAGTTGAAAATGGCATCTGTGGCAGCTCTAATCAATCTAAGTGGGACTGCTATAGTGCCTGCCTTGTGCTGGTGCTGGTGAGTCAGCATGGAACATGGGTCCACCTGAAAGCAGTTGCTTTTCAGGGAGGGAGAGGAGATGGAAGAGTTTGGGTTTTAGCTGGATTGGTTCCCTGACTGGCTTACCCTCCAGGACCATGTCTTCTAGCACCAGGGATGGATCAGGGCTGTGTGACCAGAGATGGAGAGGGAGAAGTAGGGTTGTGGGAGCTTAGGTTGGTGTGAGGCCAAACCCTCCAGTACAAAGGAGGCCTAAGTGCCCCCACATAAAGGACTGGCAGGATAATGAGAGCTGGCGGAAAGGTATTACAGAACAATTATGTGAAAGAGCGAATAGAAAAAGGATTCAGCTTGAAATAACAGATACAAGGCAGTCATTCTTAATGTGTACAGCTGTGGCATGTCATAGATGGTGTTACTTGGTAGTGCCACGTTGTGCATCTGTTGGTGACTGTGTGCTCCTCTAGTCAGTTGTTTCCTCTGACTTTTGGTCTGTAACATTGCTTTTTCCTCTTGCACTTCTGTTTGATTGTGTGGTTCTGGTGTCTGCCTGTCCATCCCACAGTAGCTGAGCCAGTGGTCCTGTGTCCTTTGTCCAACAGCTTCCTTCCTCCTTTCCCGCCGGCTCCCATTCTACTTTTTTCATATCCCTTCTGAGCAGGCAAGGCAGTAGGTTTTGATGTTTCCTTGCATTTTGTTGTCCAGCCTGTACCCACACCTTTAGCTCTTGGAGACTGTTCATTCTTCATTGCTTCATCTGAATTTGAGACTTCAACAGTAATATCTTTGCTCTCAGAAGAAAATTGATGTATATATGCCTGTATCTCCTGGCCAAACCTCCCTTGTGTTCTTTGCAATAATGTTTTGTCTTGCACGTAGATCTATAGGTGAATTGAAATGTGTGGTGCCTTGATGCATATTCTGTACATGCTTCAGTTCTGTTACAGTATTTCACTTTGGAAATTAAACTTTCTCTCTATACAAGCAGAACTGATACCTGGTTGTGTTATGTTGGGCTTTGTATTTCTTCCAGAAAGAAATTCAAGCAATGAGTCAATGCAATCACCCTAATGTGGTGACCTATTACACATCTTTTGTGGTGAAGGATGAACTTTGGCTGGTTATGAAGCTGTTAAGTGGGGGTAAGTTACTGGTTTTACTTGTTTAGCTGCAGGGAAATTGTATGATTTTTTTTTTCTAATGTACATTTTTGAGTTAGAGTTAATTGACCTAAACCAAGTAAGGAAGGGGGAGAGACACTGCGTAGGATGAACCTTGAGATATAGGTGTGTTATAGCAGGAAT